GGCACTGGGGACACGCAGCAGCACCCACTGCACCCCCTGGCTCACCTTGGCACAAGCCACAAGCTGGGAGGTGGACAGGGCACACTGGGTGGCAGCAGCAATGACCCTGTTCTGCAGCACCGTGTCCTCTGCCACCTGGGCCACGTTCTTGGCCTTCAGCACCAGCATGGCAGCGGCGTTGGCAACAGCTTTGGCCAAACTCATCAGGACATCCTGGCAAAGGAAAAGTCAGACTGCGACATGAAAACACATCCAGGTGTTAATTCCTGCAGTCATTAAGTGAAAATGATTTCTTCCCATTTCCCCACTTAAAATCCCACCTATATCCTTCAGTTTTTTAGTAGGATAGAGTCTTCCTAATGCCTGTACTGTTAAAATGACCTGGTTTTCCAGTAAAGAAAACACTTCCAATACACTTATTTATAATTTCAACATCACAGCAGGCAGAAAATCTTCCATTTCAAAAACCAAACCCACTACTTTTTGTTTTGCTTTTAGATATGATAAACCATCCCTTTCCTTACCCACTGTCTCCAACACTCCATAACACTGATAAGAATGCTTAAATTTTTTCTCTTAGCCAAAAGTTGCAATAGATATATTCAGCTAGGAATACAAATGAGAACTGAAGAAGTTCACAGATTCACTGCTGGATGAAGGGTGAAAATGGTCTGTAAGTTGTATCAGCAGACACCCTGCACACAGCACACTCCAGAGGAGTAGCTGCTGCTGAAAAGTGCCTTCCCTTGCTTCTGGTGCAAACATGTCCTTGGCAGTCAGGGAAAAAATCCACACATGCTTTTTACAGAGAATTTAAGAGCACTGGTAACATCAAACACTGTTAAATCATAAGGCATTAATGATTTTGTAGCTGATGCTACTTTTCATCTTGAAGAAATTTTGTTTGCAATACAGCTTTTTTTTCTACTCAGTTTACCAAAAGATTTTATTAATTTCTACATGTTTACATATATACATACAGACACAGCAAACACTTACATAAAACCCATTATATTTAATGAGAAAAAACACAGTGCAAAAAGCCCTCCATGAAGCATCTGTGTGATGCACAGAAGAAGAAGGGCTTCCTATGAAATCAGCATTCTGTGACTGTGTGTTTCATTCACATTCTCTGAAAAAATTCCTTCACCCAGGATTTTTCTCCTGGGAAGCTGAGGAGCCTCAGAGAAAAGAAAACAATCCTTATTTGCCTCTCCTGTGTTTTGCTCATCTGTTTGGAGATTGTTTACCCCCACAGGTGATTGTTTCATTGCATTCTGGTGTGAATTGTTTTCACTCTTTGGCCAATTATGGCCAAGCTGTGTCAGGACTCTGGAAAGAGTCACAAGTTTTCATTATTATCTTTTAGCATTCTGTAAGTATCCTTTATTTTTTCTTTATTATAGTTTAATATAGTATTTTTTAATATAATATAGTATAATAAAGTAATAAATTAGCCTTCTGAGAAGCTAATTTAATTTAATGAGAAGGCATTCCCAGCAAATCCAATAATTGTGTAATTAAAATCAAATTCAAAATGGATTCAATTAGCATAGAGAAACTTCAGCATTTTTTAACCACACTTTAAGCAGCTTGGTTTTATGCAGGGACCTCCTTATTAAAGCTGCACAGTTCTGACAGTGACAAACAATCCCCTCATTACCTGGAACCTCTCATCTGTCTCATTCTCCCCAATTTGCCTCAGCAGCTCCCCACTGGCCTGTCCAATGCTTCCAGCTGCAGTCAGAACTGTCTGGCGAGGCTGGGAAGAGGCAACAGAGAAATGCATTTATTCACAGAAAATGAACTTCACTTGCATTTTATATTTCCTCAAGGAACTTGTGCATTAGTGTGCAGTAATATGGCCAGAAAGGGGGAACCTGACAAGTTTTCCTTTGCTCACCTCTCCTGAAGTTGGTTGCACAGCCTTCAGCAGGTCTGAGACAGCACTGGCCAAGGTTCGAGCAGCTTTCAGGAGGTCTTCTCCACTCCCAACCTCATCATCCATGAGAGCAGCAAGCAGTTTCACACCTTTGGACATCTCAGTGAGGTTGGAGGAGATGGTTGTAATTGCACATCCCACAGCAGTGTAATCAGTGTCAACTGGGTCCCCTGCAGAGCAAATGGTTTTCAATGATCAGAATGTTTTAATGGCTAAAAGGGAAAAGCAGCAGCTACAACAAGCTACACTCTGCTGAGAGATAAAAGAGACATTTCAGGACAGCCAAGCAATGTCTGTTAAGTAATGTGCCACTTAAAACCACATTAGATTGCTATAAACTTTCTCATTTCTACACTTCTTCTGCAATAATCTATCCTCTAATAGAATGTTTCTTCATTCAATGCCATTTGCTGAGAAGTCCACAGTTTCAGCCTCCTTCAATACTAAAAGAATCTAAGGCAATACAGTCTCATCTCCTTTAAGCCACTCACAGCTCCCTCAACCTGTAATTTGCTGAAGAAAACCCACTGTCAATAAAAACAGAATTTCTCCTTAACAACTGCCAGGTCAATGATGCTTTCTTGTAGTAACCTTGCAAACACTCTACTCTGTTGGATAAGCCAGCTACATTTTGTCTTCACTGACTGTTACACCTTTAGAGAAACTGAAGATAGAAAAAATTGTGCTGGGAGGGACACCAAGTTTGTTCCACATGTCAATGCATTAACTACTGATGTGTTTTAAAGAAAAGTTTCTGCAGCTGCCCCATACTCACTTCATGTTTCTTGATTCAGATTGACAAATAGTGAGGAGACTGCAAGGAAATCCTTCCCATTGAAATTTACCTGCTGTCAGGTTAACAACAGATGCAGTTCCTGCAGTGATTGCATCAACCTGAGAGTGTATTTCATGTTTTGATTCATCAACCTTGTTCTGAACCCATACTCTTGATGCCTGAAGAGCAATAATGAAAAGAATTAAGGACTGCAGTGAGGTTCTGTACAGTAAGATACTAGCTACATATCCCATTCCTTTGTGGATTTTTAAAAGTGAAACAGAAGAAAAACAGGAGGCCCCTAAAGTGAAATAAGAATGCAAGCATTTTCCTCTGCTGCTTCATTCATTACAGATTTGCTGTCACATTTCAACAGCTGCCCTTTTAAGGTAAATGCCATAAGAAAGGCTAAACACTCCTGCCTGACAGTGCCCCATAAGCAGTGACCCTCTGGGGCTCTGCCATCCTGCCCTAACCTGGATCATGAACAGAATCACATTTTGTTCTCATTTTCCATGTCTCTGGGAGGCAGTAAGTCCCACCATTAATACTGCCCATAGTTTGTGTTTAACTGTACATATGCCCACAAAACAAGAGCATTCCAGGCAGGATTATGCAGTCTGCTACATCTGGTCTCAGGAGACGGATTAGAGTGAGGTGGGCCACTGTACATGAATTCCTTAGAGAGAGCACAAATTTTACCCCATATTAAAAGCTTTAGCAGTCTCACTCCAGATCTGGGGGCAATGACTACACTGGTCTGTACACACCCAAAGGCCATTGCTGTGTGCTCAGCACTCACCATGTCCTGCCCCAGGGGTGGCAGGTTGTCCACCTCGCTGAGGTCGGCCTGCGCCTGCTGCACCGCGTGCATGCTGCTGTTGATGGTCCCCATCAGGGCCTGCTGGGCTGAGGTCTGCAAGGCAGAGCAGGGCAATGGCTGGGCTGTGCCCACAGGGCACTCCAGGCACAAGTGGCAGCAGCCCAGCAACCACCCCAGGCCATTCCAGAGCTGCCTTTTCCTGGCACAGTGCAGAAAGCAAAGCCCTCGAACTCTCCTCACACTCCTGATTCTGCTCATGCCATTTTACACTCTGTGCTACTTCCACACACACAGAAACTGCTCACCTTTCTCAGCTCAAACAGTGGCCAACAGACACACACAAACCCACTGAGCTGTCTTACTGACCTGCGTTTGAACAACATGAAAAATCAATTTGCTTCTAGGAGATCATTGCCGATTTCCTGGGACAGCCTCCCAGTGCAATCAAGGATGATTCTAAAACTAAATTGTCATCAATATGCATAAGCTACCAGAAAACTGAAGGGGTTTAGCAGAGCAGGATGCTGTCTGTACTGGGGGTCTGTGGCAGGAGTTTTAGCTGCAGGGGGGGCCTCTGGGAGAATCAGCCAGAGGCTGCCCCATATTGGGCACACACAGCTGATTCCAGACATCTCCAACAGACCCAGCACAGGACACAGCTGAGGGCAGCACCCAAACTGATGGCACCTCTGGGAAATCACTGGTGACAAAGGGGAAAACATGGGTGAGAAAGGGCAGTGAGGAACAAGGAGTTCAACAAACAGCCTGACAGGGATGAGGAGGGTGTGCTCAAGACAGCAGAGCTGAGTTTCCTTAGCCTGTGGGACAGAGTCAAGTGCAGCAGGTATTTAAACCTTTTTTTTCCCCTTTGAATACTAGTTTTAACTACTTAAAGGTAAAGAAAAGGCTGGAAGAGCCTGCTTTAAAGAAAATGAGGAAATAAATCAAAAAGTGACACCCTAAATATTTAAGGGATATTCATAACTTATGTTTGGTAGAACAGTCAGAGCATTACAGCCAGGACTCTTGGTCTCAAATGTGTACAACATTATGTTTCTGACTACTTGCTGCACAGACAGGTTTTACACACAAAAAATCTGGTTTTATGGTCTCACTGCACAGAAAGATTTGAGATTCCTTTTCAAGAGTGTGGCCAGCTCCAGAGTTCTGTGTTTTGCTGTATTCAGTTACTCTCCCATCAAAACCATAACCTGACCTACCTGTACCAAACCCTTTCCCCTACCCACACCACACATCTGATGGCTTTGGCTGCTGAAATAAGCCAGCTCTGCCCATAACACTGTGTACAACCAAACTGACAGGTGCCAAACCTGCTGGAAACCATGGAACTAGCAGACACAAGCATCTAAAACCTTGTAAATCACACATAAAGATTAAAAAAAAAAACCTACAACTTTTCAGCTCTGCTTCATTATCCCCCTCTCTGCCTCAGCATTTTACTGAATTACAGCCTGAGTGCTGTAACACAGTCAAGTTGATGGTGCCATTACTGGTTGCCCTAACCAACAATTTGTGACCAATATCTGCTCTTCAATCCTTGAACGAAGCTAGGAGCCTGCTGAACTGCCTGGGGACAGCACTTCCTTCTATTGAAATACTCTGTGGAAACCCATTCTTTCGCAGCAATCAGTGTTTCTCACAAGAGGGGGCATGTGTCCTCGGTGCATCTGCCCAGTTGTCACTTGCTGCTGCGGGGAGGGCATGATGCCCACGTTGAAGGTCTCGGGGCCGCTGGAGCCCGAGCGCATCACGGCCGGCAGCGCCACCGAGCCGTGCTCCGCCTTGCCCGTCCTGTTGAACTGCTGCTGCAGGATGGTGGGCCTGCAAAACACCAGCACACGCTCAGTCAGCTCCTAAAAACTCACCTCTGCCTCAGCTAGGCTTCCAGGTGCATTTCACAGCGTTTGGAGAAGCTGGAGAACTTGATGGTTTTTTCTTTCTATTTTTTAACATATTGGACAAAAGATAATGTGGGGCTTCTGGCAGATCAGTTATTAATAGCACTAATGAGCAGGCACCCAGGAAAGGTGGCAATGTGCAGTTTTGTTGAACATGAAACAATGGTTTACCCCTGTTAGACACAGGGCAGACAGAACCAGAACAAGGTTTATGGCACAACAACTGCTTTGTTTCACTTGTATCACAGGCTGATCAATACAAAATAGATGCATGTACCTTGTGGAGCTCTTTTGCAAGTACTCCCTAGAACTGGGATAAAAACTTAAGTCTTCCCCCTTTACCCAAATAAGCACACACAGTACTTGCAAATAATCTGGCAGTCCCCCAGATCCTGGACTGGAGAATAATAAATAAAGTTACTGCCATCCTGAACTGCCTTGCCAGATATACTGCTCATATTTAAACATGATTCAACCTTCAATTGCTAGAAGTGTTGACAGAAATTCAGGCTGTAACAACAACACTGCTGAGGGGAAAAAAAAAGTCATTTCAAGCATGAAAAAATCTTGTATTTACTACAAGTTTTGGGCTTCTCTGCACAGCACTTAACTAACAGTATATGCTGGAAGTGATTTGGAAAGGGCTATGTCAAAATAAAGCACATCTGAACATGTGTGATCCATCAAAAGATGAAATTTCCCATAAGGCCACATGAAATACCTAACAAATCTATCTCATATAAACTGTAGGCTTAACAATAAATCAAATGGACTTTTCACATACACACTGCTGACACTGCCACCCTCAAGAGCTCCAAGAAAAGACTTGAGTGGCTCATTACAGCTTCTAATGTCACAAATCTGGTTTTATGGTCTCACTGCACAGAAAGATTTGACATTCCTTTTCAAGAGTGCAGGCAGCTCCACAGTTCTGTGTTTTGCTTTATTCAGTTACTCTCCCATCAAAACCATAACCTGACCTACTTGTACCAAATCCTTTCCCCTACCCACACCACACATCTGATGGCTTTGGCTGCTGAAATAAGCCAGCTCTGCCCATAACACTGTGTACAACCAAACTGACAGGTGTCAAACCTGCTGGAAACCATGGAACCAGCAGACACAAGCATCTAAAACCTTGTAAATCACACATGAAGATGAAAAAAAATACTTCTCAGCTTTGCTTTATTATCCCCTTCTCTGCCTCAGCATTTTGCTGAATTACAGCCTGAGTGCTGTAACACAGTCAAGTGGATGGTGCCATTACTGGTTGCTCAAACCAACAATTTTGTGACCAATATCTGCTCTTCAGTCCTTGAATGAAGCTTAGGAGCCTGCTGAACTGCCTGGGGACAGCACTTCATTCTATTGAAATACTCTGTAGAAAACCATTCTACCACAGTAATAACTGTACTTTATTTGAAAAAGCCACCACAGCTAAATGTGGCACCCTTAAAACCAGACCATTTCCTCCTGTTGCACTCACTTCTTAGGTGAAACAGACTCTTCCAACATGGTTGATTCCTCATCACCTTCAAGCCCAAATCTATCTTTACTTTGTTTCTGGAGGGGGAAAAAAAAGATAAGTTAAACAATGAGTGTTTTTCTTGCTTTCTCTCCACCATTTACCACAAACATAAACAAATGACCTGCAGAGCCTTGTCTGGTGCTGAACACCACACTGCTGGGCAGTGAGTGACAATACAACCTCCCCAGAGAAGAGAAATTCTTCAGCATTTAACAGCCCAGGCTCTAAACCCTGGCAGATGAAATATGTAAAGGAAAAAACCTGCTGGTGCCTTTTTGAACAAAGGTATAAGGAAAGTGCTGAAGTGTTACTGTACAATGCTAACCACTGATGCCTCAAGATTTTAGCCTTTATATTTTTGAAATCTTGTACTGCAATATGCATCATTCCAAACTCCATATAAATGTGTTAGTTAACTTTTAAATGTTAGTGACCTGTCTTCACATTTTGCTCAGAGAAAACATTCCCTCTAGGCCTGAGATCCAAGCACACCCTACAGCCTCAGGCCCCAAAAAGTGTAAACAAAAGGGAAGGGGATGGGGAAGGGAGGTGGGGAGCAAACTGGGAATGTAATTTCATCACCAGAAGCTGTAATTGGAGCATTAACTCCTGATATGTAAATGGATCAAACTTATCTGTCTGAAAAACTCGTGACCACCGTTCATTTTGGGGAGGCTCTGTCTGCCCTTAATATACCTGAAAGCACTAAATGAAATATATCCACTTTTATTCTTCATCTTTATCTGGCCTCTGTTTCTAGATAAGCCCAAAAAAGGCATCACTGCCAGTAGGAAATACATACCCATAAGTAAAGACAATAAACTGAATAGTGTCTCCAAGTCATTTTATCATAGTCTTTAAAAGTTCAGGACTTGAAAGTTGACTTTAAAGACTTTCAAGTTTAATGTTCAGACTGACCTCACGCTGAAGATTGAGGCAGGGATTTTTTAGTGTTAAGAGAGATTTGTAAATATATGTAAGGGCAACAGGAAACTACAAATCATAGAAACAGTGCCTTATAGAAAGAGTCTATTTGTACTTGTTGCCTAGTGCAGAAAAACTGTCTGCTTTCCCTCTTGCTACATGATTTGTAGTCTGAGTCTACATAGAGGAATATAAATGGAGAAGTATCCACTGTGCCCTTCCATCCAAGAGGAACTCCTCATGCACATCCATATGGACCCACAACTTTGGAGAAAGAAGTTCTTACTACTAGAGTTTGATTTCATGCATGGACTGAAACTCCCTATGGCTAGTCATGATTGTGTTTGACTTCTGTAATAATGTGAAGTAATAAAAGAAATCTCCTGGTTTTAATTTAGATATATGCCAGTTAAATTCTGAGTTCTCTGTCAGCTGATTAATGACCTATCACTAAAATTGCAGGACATGAGGGGTTGGGTGGAGTGAGGGGGAACACTGCACTAGTAACACTTGAGCAGAAAATAATGTACCCATCAATGCACACTGGAGAAAATGAGTTGGACCAGCCCAAAACGCAGCAAGATTTAAAAATATGCAACTGATATGCATCACAGGGATTACATGAGCTCAACAACTACAAACTGCAGCTTCTCATGAATCAGGGATGTTTATGATTGAACCTGTTCCTAATTCATTACTTTCAAACTGCCTGTGTCAGCAGATGGTAGAGAAAAAAAATCAAAGAACTGGGAGTGGAAATTTGCACATTTGTATTCTATCAAGACAGAAGGCTGCTTTCATTTGGCACTAGACAGCAATGCTACTTTTGAATCAAGTTTTAAACCATCTACAGAAACCTGCAATTTATTTGATGTTTATTAAACCTGAGCCTGACAGCCTCAGAGAAAAAGGCATGTGATGAATTCTGTGTGATGAATTCTGGCAATCCTCCTCAACCTTTTATTATGTAACCCTTAAAGTTACATCCTCACTGCTCACACTAACAAAGGCAAAATATTCTTCTGGGCTTTTTAACTTTGTGATTTCTTACTACTAAAATCTATTACAGCAAAGAATGATGTAGTTGGAATGTCAATGAAGTAAAATTTTGACAAGAATGAATCAGTGCTGTTTGGAACACCTCACTTTTCTATGTAACATGATTAGAATGGGACCATTCAGCTCCATGTGTGTTGGCAAATTTGCCATTTTTGCTGTTGCACTTGCTTGGGAATATTTTGAGTACTGGAAATTTGTATCAGCCCTTCCTCTCTCCTGCCAGGCACATTCTATTAAAACAAAACAAGTTTCAAGGCAGTCTGACCTCTTCACAAACACTGATTTTTATCCCCCTCTGCACAACTCAGGTCTAATTCTTTGCTTTACTAATCACAGTGTTTCTAAAGCAATGTGCTGTTGGGGCTTTTTGGTTTGTTTTTCTGGCCAAAAACTTCCTCAGCTTTGGTACATTATATACAAGAGCACCTGGACAACTACTGTGTAGCCCTGGCTGTAGTTTTAAATGCTGATTCTAGGGTAATTTCTTCCCACCTGCTTCATCACTTTGGACTACAGCATAAAAATCCACAGCTGAAGCTTTGGACTCTTCCCTGGATGTGCACTCACAGCCACCAGGTCACCTTCCAGAGAGAAAAACAAAGCCCAGGGCTGCTGTGCTGAGCCTGACACATGCTAGAGTTGTAAGAAATACCCTTGATTTTTCCAGAAGCAGTGCCTTACTTGCAGGTAAAAATATGTAACATCAAAACACAAGATACAACACTGACTCCCTGAGAGAAAAACTGCAGTTTGCACACATCTGAATTTTTGCATTGGATTTTTTGCTACATGCCAAGATGTTAATACTGTACCTTCTTTAGGATGATATCAATGTAACCTGCAATTAATTGAGAGATCTGTTCTCCTTCAGTGGTCTGTACTGAGTAATAGCTTTCCTGATATTCACCAAAATCCTGAAGAAAAAGGGGAAAAAACCCAAAACTCATTTGAAAGTGCAATGTAACTAAATGAAGAAACAGTATTAAATATGAGTGAAAAAGTTCAAATTCTGAAATTGTATAGACATTTTATTATATCCAACAGTAAGTTAAACTTCTCCAAGATTCTAAACCAGTCTGTATGTGAGACTGAGGGAAGAGAGAAGAATGCTTTTTATTTCAGTCTACTCACAGATGTTTCATAAACTGAAATACCCAAGAGATACTTAATCTAACTTCATCAGACTCAGTCACTTGAGGATGAAGAAAAGTTTTTTTAGAATCTAATACTAGAGCATAATCATCCATGCAACTGGAAATTAGATGCACATGAATCAAGTGAATGCAATTTTCTAGCTTCTGCCTCTTGCTCCATCACTTCAAACAACCTTTTCATATACAAAATGTATGTTGCAGTGGTCTCCTATTGACCAAATAATTAGCAAAATATCACATTCATGAAGCTTCTCTAAACTCATAATTACCAACCACATGAATGAGCCAGCTGACTTTGTTTATGTTCACATCTTGCAAGTCACAGAGTGCATTATGAATGACAAGCATCATAACTATGTACACAAGTGTGAATATTAATGTTTTCTTAACTGGTTCTTCAGTTAGGCACAAATGAGATTTAAGCAGTGGTTTGTTGAAAGATTTAAACAGTGTTTCTGAGGAACTGGCCTGTCCAGAAGCACCAAACTCCAGACTGAACCTGGACTGCAGCATGTGCCAATTTACTGCTTGGGGGCTCAGTGACTGCCAGGCTGGAGAACCAGAGATGGAACAAGTGACAGGACAGAAACTGTTCTGAGCCTCCCTGCCACACAAACCCCCTGTCCTGGAACACACACAGCCAGGTTACCAGAGTGAAGCTCTTAGGGGAGGCAGCCCAGCGTTTCACAGTTGTCAGGGGCCACTCCTGCAACACCTCCTTGGTCTTCTCATCCACACGCATCACCGAGTCCTTGGTGACCCCCAGCAGACGAGGAACCAGCTTGTTCTTGCCTTTCATTTTTTCCTATAACAAGGTGTGGAAGATTGCTTTCCTTACAAATGCAGCTTTCCACAGGACAAAGGAGAAGCAAGATAGAATAATCTGCAAAGGGAAGCAACTGGCATGCAGACAGTGGCAATTTAAAACTCCAGGCTGAGTTTGTCTGTTTACAGACAATGATTTTCAAGCAATGCATTAAGAAGCTGTGGCCTTTAGTGCAGCTTTACTACTCAGTTCAAAAGACAACCCTGTTGGTGAAATTTCTCCTGATGGGTGCGAAGAATGATGAGCAGGACTCCATGATATCACAAGGCTAATTAAATACTTCATTATACTATATTATTCTATACTATATTACACTACATCTAAACTGAAACCGAACAAGAACTCAACTGAACAATCTTGTGACTGTCTCCTGACCAACCAACAGCTTGCAGAGATTGGTCAAGAAAACAAAACACTCCCACCAGAATCCAATTAGCAAATCCCTTCAGGTAAGCAATCTCCCATAATGCATTCCACTTGTGCACAAACACAGGAGGAGCAAACGAGATAAGAAATGTTTTGATCATTCCCTTCTCTGCTTCTCCAGGGAAAAACCTGAGAGAGAGAATGTGAATCCCACACAACCCCCGTTCTCACTCCTGCAGGAAACTGAAATATCTCGGTGGCTGAGGCAGCAAACCTTGGCTGAGAGAGGAGCTGAGCTGACCCACAGCAAGGGCAGGGTGGCCCCAGCAGGAGCTGGGTTACCTTCACAAGGAAGAAGGAGACGCCGTAGGTGCGCAGGGAACGCGCCAGCTTCACGTACTTCACTTTGGCCTCTATTTCTGTCATCTCACCACAGTTCTTGTGCTCCTGCAACACAGGTCAGTATCAATCAGCTAAAACCAAAGTTTGCTACAAACAAACAAGAAAAGGACACAGCTTTTATCTGTTTCAGGATGCTTAGTTCGTAATCATCACAATTAGAATATTTGAAAAAAATACTGGGTAGAAATGTCAGCAAAACTATCACATAATGCCTCACATGAGAGAAAGTAACTAACCTGGGCAAACAGAACTCTCCTCTTGGACCATCAACCATTCAATCTGTGCCTCAGACCATGCACATTAAACCCCTTCTGACACAGTTTAAAATTCCAGGTATTCCTGCTGTTTGACATCATTAGGTTCCATACAATCAATGCCTCTTCACTCAGCTTTTAAACATCATTTAAGTGCACCCACACCCTTTTTTTTCCTCTGAGAATCAGATTATTTATTTCTGCTTTCTACCCAAAACTTGACTCATGACAGCCTCACACCTTGTACTTGAGACCATTTTTCATGCCTTGTAGGCACTTCCAATGGGCCTTTTTTGCCAGTTGGAGCATTATTCAAATTTTTTTTCCATCACAGGAAAATATCTCTACAGCTGAGGAATAAAAAATTCTTTTTCTGGATAGTGTGGCCTGAAATACTGAACAAAGTGTTTCCTTGTAACTCTGCCTCTATTTATCATTTAAACAATGTGGTCATTAGTAGATTGATGAGTATGTGTAAGTAATGAGAGGTACCCATCTTATATATTTAAATTTATTAAATTTAAATATCATCTGCTCTCCTATCCAGACCACTGTGCTGAAAACCTCATCTCAATGTCTCCCTGTTTAAACCCTGTTTGTGGGATTCCCCATCCCACCCCATCTTCCCCTCACGTGCTTCTCAACTGTAGGTTGCCACCTCTTTGATGGCAGCAGGGGGAGCAGCAGGAATATGGGAAACGCCTTCTGATTCCTCTTGTTCCCACCTCAGCAGGGTGGGAGCACCAGGAACATGGGAAATGCCTTCTGATTCCTCTTGTTCCCACCTCAGCAGGGTGGGAGCACCAGGAACATGGGAAATGCCTTCTGATTCCTCTTGTTCCCACCTCAGCAGGGTGGGAGCACCAGGAACATGGGAAATGCCTTCTGATTCCTCTTGTTCCCACCTCAGCAGCCTGGGAGAGCACTGGGAGGGGAAATGCAACTCCCCAGACCTCCTGCATCCCAAGGACACAGGCTGCTCCCATCTGCCAGCTCCAGCACAGAACACAGCCAGGATCCCCAAAGAACAAGGAGCACAAATGGAGCACCTGCCAGGCTCCAGAACTCCATGGCTTGGGAAACAGCTGAGGGTTTTTCAAAAAGACAGCTCACATGTGCTACCTTGTGGATTCTTTGAGGGATTCAGTGCCCTCACTGCTGAGCCTCTGGTCCATGCACTACAGCACACAATGAGTGAAACTACTCCTAGGTCGTATCTGACATGGGCTAAAATCCCATGCTGTGAGAAGCATGGCTGTGATACTCAGAAGTGAATGAATCTGGTTTTGCTCAAACTGCAATGTCACTGCACCCCCAAAGGTGCACAGGAAAGTGTCAGACACGCTCATCTACAAGGAAGCACAGAAAACTCAAGGTAGAACAGACTCATTAAGTTAGAGGATTCTTCAGCTGGGAGTGCAGCAAACAAAAGAAAGGATGTGACCTGCTCCTGCCCTTGAACTCGTCTCCCTAGCTGTGATCTCGGATCTCTGGTGTGTCCTTCCAGAAGCCACGAGACTTTATCTCACCTGCTGACCTAGAATTTTCCAACTTCCACTGTGTTGCCACACTTGTATTTCAGTGGGCAGTTACCTGGTCCATCCATAGCACTCAGGCCCTCAGAGCACTTCTAACAATACCAGCACATTTTACCATTTGTACTTAACTGCTCCAGTCTTTTACAATGGGGTGGTTCCCATACACACCACTGAATTCAAGCATTAACAAGCAGAATTGAGGCTCATGTTTGAATGAGGCATGAAATTAAAACTGGCTTTCCTAAACATGTGTCTATTTTAATACAAATATGCATCTTTATATTTCCATGCAAATGACAAAAAGATCTTTAAAATACTTAATTTTCACTCTCTCCATTTAACAAAACACATTGGATAATCAGCAGAAAAGAAAAAATGATCAGGACAATAAATCCACTGAAGAAATAAAATAAAAGCTGTCAAATACTTGATACTTCATTTTCTGAGAGCTATATAGTTCAAAGTTCTTTGCAGAGTTATTTGTACACATACCAAGTATACACCTGGGAATCTCAGATTTTTCTTATACAGGTAGTGAAACCATAGTAATTGTTTTAGCCTCACAATTACCTGAAATATTCTCTTTTCAGCCCCTCTTTGTTTGGTATATTCTTTAGGCAGGAATTCTTTCAGGCTAGGGGAAAAACAAAAAAGAAATTCCAAAGTTAATGGTTCCTCCTTGAGGAGGGATGCTGTCCATACATCTTCACTGGCACGAGGTCCCCCAGGCTTCCTGATGTGGGTGTTAAATACTTGCACAACTAAACAAAACTAAATAGAGCAAGAGCAAGTGCTTGCCTTACCACCCGAGTTGCTGCCCCATGCAGTAGCTTTTCATGTTTTGAAAATTCATCAAAAATAAACAACAGCTGGGACACTTTCCAATTTTAAATCACAGGCTGTCTGTCAGCAGCTCAGAGGTTTCACATCTAAGTGGAACCACACTCAGTGTGGTCTGGGACAAGGGGACACCGAGGCTGGGCCAGCTCTGGGTTCAGACACTGCTGTCACTCTACAGCAGCACTCGGATTTACTGATGGGTGGGACAAGTTCTTTCTCTGTGTCATCCAACAAGTGTTAGAGCTCTAATACTGTATGAAAAACCAGACACTCATTTAAGTGGACATTTAACACCACTGTGTTGTCTCAAAGTAAAAAAAGAGCAGTTTTAATTTCTGCAGCACTCAGTTTCCAAGGCTCTCAGAACGTGGATTAAATGAAACAAGTTCAGCCTCCCCGGCAGAGCTCAGTCAGAAGGAATCCCTCAACCCCTCACCTGCCCCTCCTTGCTGTACAGTGAAATAACCCTCGATCTCAGCCAGATTTCACCCTAACCTGAGGGCAGATCAGCATCATCCTTTAACAGATAACTGATCTGGACTGTCCCTTCCAATCTGGAATATTCTACTCTGATGAAACCATGTCATATATTCAGCAGGTCATTTTCCACCTGAAGAAACTTGCACAGTTAAAATAATTAATCTCTAAGGATTCCCCCTGTTGGGAATTTAGCTGCTAGAAAATGGAAAAGTACAAAACCATGGCTAATTCTAAGTCCGGCACCTGCAAGATAACAGTGTCCTTGGGCCTAGCTGTGTAGGATAACAAACAGTGAAAGAGGCATGAGAAAAGAGACATGTAACCCCCCTAAGGAACGAGGAAGAGTTGATGGTATAGTTTAACCAATAGATTGCTTGGCTTACAGAATATTCATAAGCTTATTACTTGCTGTATAAGTGTCTGATGCTCTCTTCAACAAACGAAATTTGCTTATCACTCATATTGAGTGTCTGAGTCTCCCCTCACCGACAAATGGCTCGGCCCTGACAAAGGCCCACATTTTTTCTCTGTGACATCCCCCTACTTTGGACTATTAACAATCATAGAAAAAGGATGACTGGAGAATGTCCTTATCCTGATTTATTCAGTGAACAAGCAACACTTAACACTGAAGGCTAGACTACCTACTAGGATACAAAGTTAGATATTTTGAGAAGGATGAATTGTTTTAAACAAAATTGGCAAAATATTGCTCAGCTGTTCTGTGGGAGTTGCCCTGCTTTTATATCTTGAAGGTGTTTTTGTTTGTATTACTGTTTGGTTTTTTGTTTGTGTTTTCAAACACAAAACACTGCCATTGCACACAATCAAAAAATAGATCAAAATACTTAATTAGGATTTTGTGCTTCAAAAATATTACTCAGTACTGAGATCACACATTTTGTCTTTTCCATATTATAAAACGAAGTAAGAACAACTGTTTTTGATAATCTTTGTTCTGATGTTCTCATAGCTACATCTCACCTATCCATGATAAAGAAATCTCTTCTTGGAGACTTATTTACAAAGACACAACATGGGGAAGGGAAGGCTGAGGAGCCAAATTAAAATTGTAGATAAGGACTGAATACAACTTATTATCTTAAAAAGCTGGTGTATCTATTATGAAATAACTGGTGGTTAATTTCACAGGTTCAAACCAGTTTAGTTAAATCCAATTCCAAGGCAAATAAAGAAAACAACAAACTCAAACCTGAATTAAACAAAGTTTCATTCTGGAAATCGATTTATATAAACAAATAAATTATAGCTATCAATACACTTGAAATAATCATCTTTTATCAGCTAATTTTCTCAGCTATCTGCATACAGATAAACTACCAGAACCATTACCTTTTTAAGCTTGCCTACTTAATTTTTAATTAATATAACACTTTAAAAAACATTGCTAAGCAAGCATTACTTGTAGCTCCATAAGCAGCAAGGGTTAAGAAAACAACTTTGTGCTTTGTCCACTAACAGCAATTGCAATACCCCTGCACATGTGGGGGGCAATTGGATTGGAAGTTTTTTCCTTCTGTCACCTTCCACTACTTTTAAATCAAGAGGCAAGTGATCCCCTCATTTGAAAGGGTGAAATGCCAGTTGTGAACAGACTGAAATTATTTTAATTTACCTGTAATCCAGATATTTTCTTTACAGATCAAGTTTCAATTGTTTTGCAGCTTTTTAATGGAGCTAGCAAAAACAATGGAAATATCATTCAGCCTTCTTTAATCCCTTAAATTACACATATTAGAATGTGTAAAGTGAACTCAGTAAAAAAAAACCAGCTAACAGCAAGCAGGGTTGATTTAACTTGGTTTACACTGAGTTTCATCTTCCAGTTCCTTAAAAAGTTACATGAGTGCCAACACTTGGATTGTTTCTCATGAGCACAAATGTGTTCCTGAAAAATCCAGCTCCATTCAGCAAACCAGGTGAGACTGAAGACCTGAGCTCAGCACCAAGCTCACTCCTCACTTGCAGTGTGTTTGTTTTTCAGTGTGCTTGCCCAGAATGGAGCTGTGCAGTTTGAGTGCTCCTTTCCCACCTGCAGAGCAGCAGTGGGAGCTCTTTATTCCATTTTCTCTCAGCAAATTCAGCCCCAGGGCAGCCTCTGCAGGTGCCATGCAGAACTAGATCTGTTCCACAAAGCAGGACTGCTTTTCAATTGACAGTTTAATGCTTTCACAATTTACTTTGGCACGAGCTTCAAGGGAATCCCAAGAACCAATACCAACGTCTTAGCAAGATGCAGGAAAAAATCTTCATCTGTGCCAAGAATATTTTAGCAACGGCAAAAAAAGATACAAAAGGTGTCTCCACACAAACACAGTGTAGACAGGCAACTAAACTAAGCTGTTTCCAAACAATATCATTAAACACTAGTGCTGTTCTGTTCTATTTTTTGTACAAGCTGACAGATTCTCCTTAAGGGAACCTGTAGCATCTTAAGGTTTTAGCAGTGAGTGACTGGATACCTCCCAAATGTATTTCACATATTGAGCTACACCATAAGTTTATATAAAAGAAAAACACTTTCTTACTTGAAAAGCATCAGTGTTTATGCATTAAACAGCAGAAAATAGTTGGATGAAAGTTTAAAAAAAATTGAGTTTTTTTTTTCTGAAAGGATAAGACATGAATCTTCAGAAAAAAATAATGAGGACTTAACTACACTTTTCTCTCACTTTGTTCACAGTGAGCCAGGATCACTTGGCTCACTTAGACTCACAAAACAAAAGCAGGAGGTTTCACAACAAGGCTGCCATGATGGCTGTGTAAAATAAAGTTATCATCACTAAATCATAAACATGTACACTTCAAATTAGGAGACAATGGCCAGGGACTTACAGTTCTGGAGCAGGTTCATCTACAGAGGAAAAAACTGAATTACCTCCAAATAAGAAATGCTTAATTTTATGAAACTGATTAAACACCAGGACAGAGAGCAATTACACTTGGTTACCTGCCAAGTTTGGTTCAAATACAATCAAAGCCCTAAATGAAAATAAAACAAGAGCAGAGAAAAATGCCCTACTGAATATAAGAAGGTTCTGAATTTTTGAATTCTGGTTCAAAATGGTTTCTACTGGAGTAACATTTTTCTAACAGACTGTTCAGTTATTAATACCTTTCACCTCTTTAGGATTAAAAAAACATAATACACATTATATGAGTGATAATCTGTTTCATGATGGGCTCCAAACTGTCCAGCACTGCATGCAAAGTACAAGCAGTACATGCACACAAAGCAGCTTCAGTACACCATAAAACACACTCACTGTATGGGAGCTTAAAAAAAAGAAAAGAGGAAGAAGCTTTCACTGAAGAAACCAAGCAGTGCATTAGAAAATCCTAAAAATTTAAGCACCTGAATGGTGTTCAGCAGTTTGCAAAAGCCACCGGTTAAGCTTGTGGGAAATTACTGCTTTAAAAATTAAAAGCAACTATTTCAGGGAACACCTAACTCTTGAAATCATTACCATGGCACAACATGAGCTTATCATGACATAATACCAATGGTTTGCTGCAGGAATATTCCTCAGTGAATGGAGTGAGAAGGGAAAAACAAGCAGACAATGGACAAATCCCAGATTGTTGTGTAACTGCTACAGTTCTAGGAAATAAAACCCAAATGTACACTGAAGCTGTTAGACTGGGGCCCTGAATCCTTAGACATCAGTATTTCTAATAGAAAAGATTCATGGGCCAATCAGGAGCAGACAGACAGTAAAAGGAAAAGCTGATTGTTAATTGGAACTGAAGGATGTTTGTTTGCATAACTGAACTGCTGCTCCAGGAAAAGGCTTCAGAAGTGAAGTGTTTCAGACAACCAGAGCTACAGCACTGCCCATTTTACACAAGACACCACCTCAGAGGGCTCCTGAGACACCAAAAACCCCAAAGAGGCTCCCAAAGGGGGCCTGAGGCAGCACTGAGCACCCTGCCAGTGGGACAGGGCAGAAACCAAGTACACACCCATTGTTGTGTGCCTCCAGCTCAGGGATTTATGAGCCTCATGTAGGCAAGGCTTGATGGACTGGGCAGAAAATAGCTCTCCTGTACCTTCCTACATGGCTTTCTCAAATTTCAGCCCTTGGTTAATTCTACTGCAGGTAAGCTAATCAGAATATCCAAATCAGTAGAAAAATGGGATATCTACATTTCAGTTAAACTTAACTTGCCCTCCTAATAGCAATAAATTAGGAGTCACAATAAAGATGAAAGGGTGAGCCACTTGTGAGCAGGACTTCTGTCCATGCCTGAAATAAAGAGCACAGTTCTGGAATTCCATTCAAACAACACCATGAGAGGCTGAATCTGACCAAGTGATTAATGCCACTAAAAAGTTTGAAAACTTAATTTCTACACACATGAGTATTCACTTTATTCAAATGACAAAACTTCTTCCCACTCTTGCACTTTCCTGGTGCTAAGTGTGTATTTAACTGGCACTCTGGGAGGAGCCAGTGTCCTTATCAGTGCTTCTGATAAGCCACAGCTGAGGCTGCTGATTTGTGCAATAAAGCTCCTTTCACTGGGAGATTTGCTATTGAAAATACACTGAATCTGATTACCTCTGCTTGGAGTAACAAAATGTGCTTAATCTGTGACAACTCAACATTAGTTACACTTGAGGTCACCCAAAGTTAGAAGTTAGAAGTGTTTACTCTAAAAATCCAGGTTTATGTTTGTGTTCTACATGAGGTCCAAACTGGATCTGTGCTTGAAAGCCTCCGAATTCACAAGCCTTCTCAAAGGAGACAGGGTGGGAGCCATTCAGAATGTCATCACGAGCCTGGAGGGGACAAACAAAGATGTGTCAGAGACACCCAAACTGCTAAACCCATCTCCAATTCCTTGAAAGCTCCAATGCACCCAGCAACACACCCTTTGCCTTCTGAATGTCTTTGCTGTTCCATTCTGGATGTGTATGTGACCAATAAAACAAAGGGCTGGGTTATTTCATGGTGAGTAGCTATGGAGACTTACTGAAGCTATGATTGCATCAGCTTTGATCAAAAAAGAGAATTTGACAGTCATTTTCTGAGGCATGTGTAAATAAAATACAACCTGCACAGACACTTCTGTGTATGTGCACACACATGTACAGATGCACGTGTGTGCAAACACACACACTGAAAAGCTTTCACCCCACTGCCTCATCTAGGAGGGAGGGAGATCTCCAGAATTAGAAAGGTAAAAACAAAATTACTGTTACAGACATGGCAATAGGACAGGCCCACAGCATTTTATTCCCTCTGTGTAAATTTGGTGGTCACTGAAGATGACATTTCATAGCTCTGGCAGTAGAAGCTCACCTACCCACAGACAAAGCAATGACAAAGCATTATCAGCACACACTGTCACACCAGCCTGGATTAAATATTTCAGTGGAAGAACAGCTCAGTGTGATGGTGTTCTAAAGTACTTCAAAGAGTTACTGCTGTTCTACAAGCAATAGAACAGCCTTATTTTTTGTCTCAGATTTTTAAAATGTAATTTATAGCAAATCAAGTATAACAACAGCACATTCCATCAAACTTTTTTTTTTCTTTGAAAAAACACCCAAAAACTTTAACAAAGAATTTAAAGCCTACTTTTTTTTTTTTTTTTTTTTCAGACTGAATTGCAGGCAACTGCAATGGCACCTTCAGTTAAATACTATCTTCTGCATAAAGCTCCTGCCTTTGCTAAGGCATGCACAGTCCCTCTGAGAGTTTAGGAAACCTGTCTGGATGGAATCCTACTGTGTTACAGGACATGGTCCATCTGATGGAAAGCCTGCCTGCCTTGTGTGCTGCTGGGCAGAAGATTAGAAAGGAGTCTCACTGATCAGGCACAAGAGAAAAAGACATGAGAAACAGAAAGCTGTTCACAAGACTGGCCTGAGGTTCCACAGAGAGAACCATCCAGAGAAGAGAAGAGGGAGAAGAACCAAAAAGAGCAACTTGGGACTAAAGACATGTACCAGTTTTAAGAAAGCAGGATGTGAAAGCCAGTGGATTTTTGGCTCAGTGTCCATTACTGGATTAAAAAAAAATCAGCAAAGCCTCTGTACTATCATGTGTTTTTTTGGAGGGCTAGACATAAGAGCAAAACTAAAGCACATCCAGAACTGGAATTCTAGAAGATGGAGTATTTGAACAGTGTATTTTTTCTAGTTAACCTCCATGGGGGTTTCCTCAGACAAGGTAGAAAGCACTGTACCTGAACATAGAGCAAATTGAGCTGAACAGGATCTCTTGAATCTACATTCTGGTCTGAATAGAAGAACTTTCGCCTCAGGAGCAGCGTTTCATTCTCGTCCACGCCTTGCTCGCGGAAGGTGCGGCTGTGATCCAGCCAGTTCACTGCAACAGAGACA